GACCACAATCCTTTGCGAACTGCCTGAGCCCTCAACCTTCGCCGATGCCTAGCCAATGGTTCAAGCTGCCTGAACGATCCCCATGCTGCATGCATGTCAGCTGGCCTCCCAGAGCACATCCTTGGGGAGTGGGATTCCACCGCTCACCTCTCCTTGTCAAATAGCCGTGCCTTCCCCCTGCCCGGGCCCACACCACCAAGACTGCCAGTCACCCAAGGGTTCCATGCCAGCTGTCCGATCATCCCACTCCACCCAGCTTGTTTAGTTTCCTAATTAAACTACACTGAGCCTGTGCCCCCCCCCCAAAAAAAAAGAAAGAAAAGAAAAGCAAGGCTGAGGGTGAGTGATGGAGGCAGGAGACCCTCTGGAGGCCACAGTGCTCAGAGGCCTCCTGCCCTGGCTGCTGGGAATTGGGGTGTCCTGTGGGGACTGGAGGGCAGGAGGAGGTGGAGAGTCATTTCCAGGGGAGGAGGTGCAGGGCAGGTCCCTGGCAAGAGTGGGAGAGCAAAACAGACCTGGGGGGTCAGGAGATGGGTGCGGGAGGAGGAGAGGAGAGGCAGAAAGGGGGTCTCTGCCTTCTGTGTCCCCAGCTTCCAGCCGCCACTATCATCACTCCTTAAGCCTTTGCTGAAAGACCATACTAACCAAGCGCTTTTAGAAAGTAATTTGTACTTTACATCCCTGTGACTACCAGGGCACCTCGCCAATAATATTGCAGTCACTGGGTGTGGTGCCAGCGGGCACTGACATGCTGGGGGATCACTTTGTAAAGTATGTGACTGTCCCCCTCTATGCTGTACACCTGAAAGCAACACAAAATCACACGGAATGCAAACTGGAACTGAAAAATTAAAATATAAAAGAAAAGAATCTGTTATTAGAGGATCTACAGGAAAACATTGTCACGGATGCTTATAGTCACTAGACAGACAACCAGTTCAGAGAGCCCTGCACATGCCCAGTGTGGACAGCTGGGCTGGCAGGGGCAGACTCCAGAGGCAGAGACTGGCCTTTGGTGAGGGAGGGGACACAGTGCTGGGACCAGGCATGGACGGGAGCAGCACTCGGGCACCAGGGAGCTCTGGCTGCCCTCTGAGGACAGGCTGCCCCTCAGGACCTTGGTTTCCTGCTTCCCATTCAGGGGGGTGGGCTGCCCTGGGAGGGGTCACTTGGGGGAGGGCGTTCCACCTTCCCTGCTCCCAGCACTGGGGCGAGTCCATCAGCCCTGCAGGAGGAGGGGGAGGCCGGCTGAATGCCCACTGACTGCCTGACACAGGGTGTGCAGCATTTGCAAGAGCTGGGAGCCTCGCCTTGCCTGCTGACTTCACAGTGGAAGGTGGCAGGCCCGCCTGCCGGCTCCTCAGTTCAATCATTGGAATGGGCCAGGGGTGTCGGGACTCCGTGTCCATCCTTCCCCTGGCCACCACAGGTCACCCCCGCAGGGTACCCCGTCTCAGCCCCTTGCTCAGGAAGCTCAGTTCTCACCGCCTGAGGCAGCCTCTGCCTTGGGCTGCCTGACACCCGGCCCTGCCTGCACCCCTGCCCTGAGTCTGCTGGGACCTGGTCCCCTGGAGCTTGGGGACAAGGGTGGGAGAGGCAGATGGGAATGAGATGCTGGGACCTGGGGGAGCATGTCCCAGAGGCCTGGAGCTCCAATGAGGCCACCAGGCCCCTGGCAGCCAAGGACCCAGGGCCGGGTGTGAACCTCCAAGTCTAGGAGCTGTGTCCTTCCTTGCCATGTGGTTGTGTGGGAGCAGGGTCTACAGATGGGTAGCGTGCACGGGTTGGCCTGGTCCAGGAGCCCCTGATCCTGGGTGCCAGAAGCCGGTCCATCCTTGCTGCTTGACACAGTCGCTGCAGGGAAGAAACATCTGCACAGCATGTGTTTCAAGGGATCTGGTGTATTTGGCATACTGTTCTTAATATGTTTGCTCCCCTTCTTAAGGCTTTGTGTTCTAACCAGGGTCACCTCTCCGAGAAAGGTTGTTTCCCCAGGTGGGGATTTTTCCATGGAGTTAGGGATTAACAGGACTAAGGAAGGGAATAAATCAGCAAAACCCCTTAACTATGTACCAGGAGGGTAGTTAATCACCTTAACTATGAACAATCAGGCTTAAGCTACATAATCTTTACTGAGGATAATCTCCTTCAGTTACTTCCTTGTAGCTTAACAGAACAGTAGAGTAGTGACCTTGGAATGGAGATAACAAATGCCCTAACCTTTGGAATAGAATAGATAGGATTAAAATCAAATGGTATAAATACAGATGTAACAGGAGAATAAAAGAGAGAACCTGGTGGGAGAACCTGGCTGGAGAACCTGGCTATGCTGATCAACTGAACGCTGCCTTCGTGTCATTCCTTCTTGGCCGACTCTGTCCACACCTTTGGGAACCCCTGGACCTGCTGGGGCTGGACCCCAACAACTGGGCAAGCAGGGTCGGTGGCCAACCTGCCTGACAGTAGGGCACACCCTGGCCTCTGCTTCCATCCTGCACCCGCCACCTGGGGACCATGTCCCCCTCTGCCCTCCCTTTCCCTTTACAATCGAAGACAAAACAGAGAAGTGGGGGCCAGCAGTCTTTGAAAACATAGAATATGACACACAGTATTATAACTTGAAAAGAACTTGAGGTACAGCAACCACAACGCAGGTGCTCAGTTGCATAAAATTTGTGTTGTTTCGTTTTATTCTGAAAAGTCTTGAGGTAGGAATGAGTGTCCCCTTCACAGGAGAGGAAAAGTGAGGCCCGGGAGGGTTAGTGAGTTGCACAGGGTCACACGGGACAGCCTGCCCTCCAAGGAGACAGGGCAGTCTGGCTGCTGTCAGGGTCCATGGAGGGGAGCTGCTGGGAACACGTTTTCCCCAGGGGAGTTCAACTCCCTCCAAGTTGTATAGCAGGTGGTAGCCACACCTTCCTGGTGAAGAGGACAGATGTCAGTGTGTGTGTGTGTGTGTGTGTGTGTGTGTGTGAGCACCAGGCCAGCCAGTTCAAGTTGAGTCTCGCCTCTGGCGCCCACTCCTGGACACAGGGAAGAGGTGCCTCCTCCCGATGGTCCCATAGGATTACCCCAGTCCCCCTTCTCTCCCATATCCATCTTGGAGTGGCCCCACTAAGGCCCTGGCTGTGTTGGTCTCCTGACCATGACCTTTGCTCTCCCGCCTGGGAGGTCCGTGTCCCAGAGCCAAGTAGAGAGGCCACATCTAGACCCACGCAGGCCAACTCCTGGGCTGCATCTGGCCCATTGGTCTCGCTCCCCCCCCTCCCCACTCAGACAGTCCTGGCTGTGGGAGCCCTGATCTGGCTCCCTGTGTCACAGTGGCTCCTCTCTCCCCAGGGAGGGACACCTGGGAAGGGGGCTGTGCGGGATGGTAATCCCCCCTCACTGAGCTGTGGCCCCCCATTCAGGGGACTCTGAAGAGCCATCAGTTCCCTCCAAGGCAGTGATTCTCAACCTGTGGGTCGTGACCCCTTTGGCAGTAGAACGACCGTTTCACAGGGGTTGCCTAAGATCATCCTGCATATCAGATATTTTCATTATGAATCATAACAGTAGCAACATTACAGTTATGAAGTAGCAACGAAAATAATTTTATGGTTGGTTCACAACATGAGGAACTGCATTTATAGGGCCAGAAGGTTGAGAACCACTGCTCTAAGGGCTCAGACATGGAGCCCAGGTAGGATGGGGGAGACAGTCCTGAGTTCAGCCTCTGCACCCCAGTCTGGGGTCAGGCTGGTCCTGCTGCTGAGGGGGCTCTCAGCTGCCCCTCACACCTGTCCTAGGAGGGGCTGGCCGGCAGGTGGCAGAAGTAAGAGGGTGGGCTCTGCTGGCTCCCAGGACTTGAGGGACCAGCAGCCTGGCCAGGGCACATGGGAGGTCAGTACATGGCTGCAGGGCCGGGCTGGACATCTCAGGGACCCCTGCTGCCGATGCCTCTGGTACCCTCAGCTCTTAGTCACTTTCTCCTCCTCCGCCAGGGCGGCCGCTGGGACCCTGCTGCTTCTGGGACTTTCTTCCCCACGTTCATGGGGAAGATGGAGGGGAGCAGAGGGTCCTGGTTGGGAGAGGGCAGCTGTCCATCTCGCCCCATTCCCCTCAGCTTGACGACTTCTTAAGAATACACATGAAAACTTCTTATATGGAGTAAAGAAATGTTGAAATGAATTGCATGGGGAGACTCACCAGTGTGGGGTTTTTGTCCCTCCCACAATAGAGGAAGAAAGACAGAATTTGTATGTCTATCAATTACCTATGATTTGCAGAATCCTGTATAATAAAACCCGAATATGCAAATAAACCAACCAGTTTAACGACGGGCAGAATGACTGGTTGCTATGATGCGCACTGTCCCCTGAGAGGGAGGTGACCTGCGGCAGCAATCAGGGAGCTGGGCTGGCCAGTGGGCAGCCCAGGCCACCAGCCTGGGTGGGTGCCAGTGGGCGGCCTCCCCATCACACCACTCATGGGTCACTGCACAGATTGCCCTGATTGCTGACCAGGCCTAGGGACCCTACCCTCTATATTGGGAACTGTTTCTTAGATCTAAAAATTCAAACCTGGCAAGGCTACTCTAACACTGAAGAAACAGGATGATGCAGCGATGACATGCATGGACTCTGGCTTGCACATTTTGTGGTCAGCCCTGATTCTGACACTTATAACTGTGTGACAAAGCCAATTACTTAACTTCTCTCTGCTCCAGTTTTCCACCCATAAGATGGGGAAAATGGCACTACTGCCTCAGAAGGATCATGTTATGTACTGCTTTTTATAATCAGGGCAAATAATTTTGCTGACCATACAACAGCATGATGCCTTTCACCTGTATGAAAAGTATGATCACAGGTGCATGCAACATCCCGGATTGCAAGAGGGATGTCTGACTGCCAGTTTAGGCCTGACATCCCCCATGGGGTCCCAGATTGATAGAGGAGCAGGTCGGGCTGAGGGACCCCTTGCCTCCCGTGTGTGAATTTCACGCACTGGGCCTCTGGTTATAAAATAGTTGTCATTGAATCAGAATCAAAGAACCAGGAAGAATGTGCTAGAGACGATACAGTTTTCCATGGGAGTGCACATTTTTTTATGGAAAAGTGTGGCTTTGAGAGTCATTCCCAGAAGCTCAGAGGGAAATACCTATAAAATAAAGCACATGAATCACTTCTATGTGTTATCAAGGACCCGCACAAATGTAAATACATGTATGGAAAGTAGATTGAAAGGACATATGCATTAAATATATTAAGATTATACCGATAGGGCATCGGGTAGGAAGTGCAGCGAGGGGATGGAGGTGGAAAAAAATAAATTCCATAAAACCAGACCAACGGTGAAGTGCGTCCTTGGGTGACTGTGTGCTTGGACTAGGATGCTGATAGCGGGGAGGCTGTGCACGTGTGGGGACAGGGCCATATGGGAACTGTACTGTGTCTTTAATTTTGCTGGGAACCTAAAACTGTTCTAAAAATAGTCTATTTTTTTAAATGACCCAGAAAATGAAACCTATATAATTTTATTTACCAAAGTCACCACAATAAATTTAATTTAAAAATAAAATGTTTTTTAAAATGACCAGGAGAGTGATGGGTTTGCCAGAGGCTTCACCGGAGGGCCAGAGACGCCCCAGCAGAGCGGGTCTGAACAGCAGCAAGGGAACAACCACAGGTTCATTTGGATGGTTCGTTGAGTCCCAGTTGTTGAATTTAATTTTTATAAAAGCCTAGAGACGTGGTGCATGAAATTCATGCATAGGGGGGGGTTAGGGGGGGAGTCATTCAGCCTGACCTGCACCCTCTCTCAATCCAGGACATCTCTCTCACAATCCGGAACCGCTGGCTCCTAAACGCTTGCCTGCCTGCCTGCCTGCCTGCCTGATCATCACTAACCACTCTGCCTGCCTGTCTGATCACCCCTAACCACTCTGCCTGCCTGTCTGATCACCCCTAACCACTCGCCTGCCTGTCTGATCACCACTAACCACTCTGCCTGCCTGCCTGCCTGATCACCCCTAACTGCCTCTGCCTCGGCCCCCGCCACCATGGCTTCATCCAGAAGGATGTCTGGAATGACGTCCAGAAGGTTGTAAGGCTTTCCCGTCTAATTAGCATATTATGCTTTATTTTTTTATAAAAGATAGTTTGCCATTTTCTTGGGCCTCTGATTAGTTCAGTGGGTCTCCTTCCTCCCAGCTCCCCCACTTTCCGCTCAGTACGTTTCTCTCAATAAGAAAGGGGCTGGGCAGAGACCTCACAAAAGAAGTTTTTGAAGCCTTTTACTTCCCTGAGAGATCAGTTTATTTGTTAGCTCCTTTGGGGAACAAGAGCGAATGTGATGTTTGCTAGGGGAGGAAGGCATGCCCGTCAGCTCCTGGAAGGGTGACTTTGCTGCTCCCCTGGGTTTGGCTCGCCTGAGGAGTGAGAGAAATAGACAGCACTTGCAAGTGATCCATCCATGCCAGTCCCGGCTTCACCTCCCTCCCTCCTCTGAAGAAAAGACTGGATTGCCCAGCAGCCAAAACCATGCTGGCCACTCCCACCCCCAGGTCTTCCTGTTTCTGTGAGCCCAGCCCAGCGCCATTCACAGGGTTCCCGGGGCTGGGCCTGCCTCCTGGACAAAGAAGGGGGGAAAGTCAGGGGGGCAACCTCTGGGGAACCCCTGGGACAGGGCCCCTCTGAGCTCTTGTCTGCAGCTACCATCTGGGTCCCCTCATTCATTTCCACCCCACGCCCGGCTTCGGCCCCCACTCACCTGAGGCCCTGGCTTTCCAGAGAAGGACAAACAGGACTGAGAACACCAGGCCCTTGTTCAGGACGAATCCGCAAGTCAGAACAATAGCCATCACCTGCACCTTGGAAAGGGCCAGGGCAGGCGGCAGGCTCAGCTCATTTCCTCAGTGGATGGTTGGTGGGACTTGTGCTGCTTTGAGGCAGTAACATTCGAGGCTTGCATGAGGGCTTCAGAAGAGAAATAGACCCCAACTGCCCCCCACCCCCGTTGGCCTGTAGGGTCACCTCCTCTGGGGAGTCCTGCAGGCAAGTCCATACTCCTGGCCTCACCAGCAACCTGGCCCCCTCCCTCCTCTGGGCCTCCATCCAACATGCCTCCATTATGCCACCCACCACCCTGCATCAGAACCTTTTATTTATATGTCTCAGGGTTCCATTCCCCTTCCAGGGCCTGGCCCCGTGCCCTGCATGCAGTTGGCAATGAGCCCAGGCTTGGGCAGAGAATAATCGAGCAGCTGATGTGTGTGCACCAGGCCCCCAGCTGACCGAACAGCTGGACAGGCTCAGCAGCCGGGCGGGGGTCTTCGAAGGTACTGTTTAACCCTTGACCATCACGGGGAAATGTAGGGGGGCTGTGCACCTCTGAAGCTTTCAGGAGGCATATGGGGGAGGGGCGCAGGGTTAGGAGGAGCCTCAAGCTTCCCAAGCTGAGGCTGAAGATCACTCATGTATCAGAGGCGGGTGCAGGGTGGGACCCAGGCCCTCTGAGCCCTCGGCCCCTGCAGCTCCCAGCCTCACCCCGAATCCCACGTCTGCTCACTGTGTGTGTCCCCTGCCTGTCCCCATTCCCTGAGCCCACACAGTGACCTGTGACCCGCCTCAAGCACAGCCCTTGGAGAGAAGGTTGAGATTGGGGTCAGGGGGAGGGGTGCCCGGAATGGACCCATAAGCCTGGCTTGCTCAAGCCTGAGGCAGCTTGGTGATCGGTAGGAGTCAGCGGGGAGCCCTGTGTGCAACAACAAGTGTTCGGAGACCTGTGTGCGCTGGGGAAGGGAGAAGCCACCGGAACCAGCAGTCTGAGTTCTGGCGCTGGTGCTGCCTGTAACCAGCGGCGACCTCGGGAAGGGCCCGGGGTTCAGCCACGGGGGCTGGGGGACCTGATTAGGTCCTTTCCAGCATCAGCTTCCTGTGGTTCAGGGACCCTGAGAAGCACACACAGAGGGAAGGACTCACCCGGAGAGACCGGCAGACGGATGGCTCTGAGAATGTCAATCTGGGGATATTCATAGAGTCCACACCAATACAAGCCCGAGTCCTTCTCTGCCAGCGCAGTCATGGTGACGGTGAAGTACCCCTGTCCGGGGTCATCCCTGATGACGAATCTCGGGTCTCCAGGCTCCTGGTCAAGCCTGGGATGGGTGACTAATGGGGTACAAGTTTGTGCTGATGTGACTCTGCACCTGGTTTTCGTCCTTAAACCACTCTGGACTCGACAATCACAACTTACAGAGACATCCTCCCCTTCCAGTTTCCGCAGCACCTCTGGCTGCTGTTCCCAGGAGCCTGAGAATAAACCCCCAGGTCAGGGAGCCCCCTTCCTTCCTGCCTCAGAGCTGAGAGGGGCCCCCTCCTCAGGAAGTCCTCTCTGGTACACTCAGTGCCCCTCCCCCGGCACCTGCCCCCCTCCTCCCTCTACCCTCCCCCTCAGGCCACCTCACTAGCATCGCTCCTTCTCTCCCCCTCGCCTCTGCCCTCACCTGAGGCCAGGAATACCAGCAGGACAAGGGGCAGCAGGTGCAGGGCCTCCCAGGCCATGGCCCTCTGTCTGAGCTGGGGTGGCAGCGCCCGCCCTGAGGAGAGGGTGCCAGAGCTGGCGGGGTCAGCAGCCGCCCAGCCTTTCTGGGAAGAAGAGCTGAGGAAGGCAAAGACTGCAGGTGGGGAGGGGGCAGGGAGGAGGGAGGCCTGGGCCTATGTGGAACTGGCCCCTAGTCCGCTGCCTCTGGGCCTGGGTGGGGGCTCTCTGGGCCAACCCGCCGGCTGCTCCCTCCCCCGGGCAGGCGGGTGTGGGGAAATGGGTGGAAGCCCCAGAGGAAACCATGGTGAAATAAGAAGCCATTCCTCCTCTCTAGTACTCTCTGTCCCACGACTTCCTTTCCCACCTCAACTTTCTCCTCGCCACCAAGAAAAGCAGGGCTGAGGGTGTGGGCATGCGGAGGCCGAGGGGTGGGCTTGCAGGAAGGTGGTGCGCAGCGGCTGTGGCTTGGCTCCCAGCTCCCTCGGAGCCATGTTCTTCCCCTGCGGCCCCAACGAGGCCATGGTGGTCTCTGGTTTCTGCCGGAGGGCCCCCCCCCTCGGTCATGGTGGCCGGCGGCCGAGTCTTTGTCCTGCCCTGCATCCAGCAGATCCAGAGGATTTCTCTCAATACAGTGACCCTCAATGTCAAGAGTGAGAAGGTTTACACGCGCCATGGGGTCCCCATCTCCCTCACCGGCATCGCCCGGGTGAAAATCCAGGGGCAGAACAAAGAGATGCTGGCGGCGGCCTGCCAGATGTTCCTGGGGAAGATGGAGGCTGAGATCGCCCACATCGCCCTGGAGACGCTGGAGGGCCACCAGAGGCCCATCCTGGCCCACATGACTGTGGAGGAAATCTGTAAGGACCCGCAGAAGTTCTCAGAGCAGGTTTTCAAAGTGGCCTCCTCAGACCTGGTGAACATGGGCATCAGTGTGGTCAGCTACACCCTGAAGGACATTCGTGATGACCAGGGCTACTTGCACTCCTTGGGGAAGGCTCCGACCGCTCAAGTCCAAAAAGATGCTCGGATTGGAGAAGCAGAGGCCAAGCGAGATGCTGGGATCCGGGAGGCCAAAGCCAAGCAGGAGAAAGTGTCTGCTCAGTACCTGAGTGAGATCAAGATGGCCAAGGCCCAGAGGGACTATGAGCTGAAGAAGGCCACCTATGACATTGAGTACAACACGCGCCGCGCGCAGGCCGACCTGGCCTACCAGCTTCAGGTGGCCAAAACGAAGCAGCAGATCGAGGAGCCGCAGGTGCGGGTGCAGGTGGTGGAGCGGGCCCAGCAGGTGGCAGTGCAGGAGCAGGAGATTGCCAGCCGGGAGAAGGAGCTGGAGAACCATGTGCAGAAGCCTGCGGAAGCCGAGCACTAGCAGCTGGAGCGCCTAGGGGAGGCTGAGAAGTCCCAGCAGATCATGCAGGCTGAGGCCGAACCAGAGTCTGTGAGGATGCGGGGAGGGGGGGTGGGGGTAGGGGGAGCAGGGGGGGAGCCCGAGGCCTTCGCCATTAGGGCCCGGGCTGAGGCCGAAGAGATGGCCAAGAAGGCAGAAGCATTCCAGCTGTACCAGGAGGCTGCTCAGCTGGACATGCTGCTGGAGAAGCTGCCCCAGGTGGCAGAGGAGATCAGTGGTCCCTTGACCTCGACCAAAAAGATCACACTGGTGTCGAGTGGAAGTGGGGTCATGGGAGCGGCCAAAGTGACGGGGAAAGTACTGGACCTCCTGAGCCGCCTGCCGGAGAGCGTGGAGAGACTCACAGGCGTCAGCATCTCCCAGGTGAACCACAATCCTTTGCGAACTGCCTGAGCCCTCAACCTTCGCCGATGCCTAGCCAATGGTTCAAGCTGCCTGAACGATCCCCATGCTGCATGCATGTCAGCTGGCCTCCCAGAGCACATCCTTGGGGAGTGGGATTCCACCGCTCACCTCTCCTTGTCAAATAGCCGTGCCTTCCCCCTGCCCGGGCCCACACCACCAAGACTGCCAGTCACCCAAGGGTTCCATGCCAGCTGTCCGATCATCCCACTCCACCCAGCTTGTTTAGTTTCCTAATTAAACTACACTGAGCCTGTGCCCCCCCCCCAAAAAAAAAGAAAGAAAAGAAAAGCAAGGCTGAGGGTGAGTGATGGAGGCAGGAGACCCTCTGGAGGCCACAGTGCTCAGAGGCCTCCTGCCCTGGCTGCTGGGAATTGGGGTGTCCTGTGGGGACTGGAGGGCAGGAGGAGGTGGAGAGTCATTTCCAGGGGAGGAGGTGCAGGGCAGGTCCCTGGCAAGAGTGGGAGAGCAAAGCAGACCTGGGGGGTCAGGAGATGGGTGCGGGAGGAGGAGAGGAGAGGCAGAAAGGGGGTCTCTGCCTTCTGTGTCCCCAGCTTCCAGCCGCCACTATCATCACTCCTTAAGCCTTTGCTGAAAGACCATACTAACCAAGCGCTTTTAGAAAGTAATTTGTACTTTACATCCCTGTGACTACTAGGACACCTCGCCAATAATATTGCAGTCACTGGGTGTGGTGCCAGCGGGCACTGACATGCTGGGGGATCACTTTGTAAAGTATGTGACTGTCCCCCTCTATGCTGTACACCTGAAAGCAACACAAAATCACACGGAATGCAAACTGGAACTGAAAAATTAAAATATAAAAGAAAAGAATCTGTTATTAGAGGATCTACAGGAAAACATTGTCACGGATGCTTATAGTCACTAGACAGACAACCAGTTCAGAGAGCCCTGCACATGCCCAGTGTGGACAGCTGGGCTGGCAGGGGCAGACTCCAGAGGCAGAGACTGGCCTTTGGTGAGGGAGGGGACACAGTGCTGGGACCAGGCATGGACGGGAGCAGCACTCGGGCACCAGGGAGCTCTGGCTGCCCTCTGAGGACAGGCTGCCCCTCAGGACCTTGGTTTCCTGCTTCCCATTCAGGGGGGTGGGCTGCCCTGGGAGGGGTCACTTGGGGAGGGCGTTCCACCTTCCCTGCTCCCAGCACTGGGGCGAGTCCATCAGCCCTGCAGGAGGAGGGGGAGGCCGGCTGAATGCCCACTGACTGCCTGACACAGGGTGTGCAGCATTTGCAAGAGCTGGGAGCCTCGCCTTGCCTGCTGACCTCACAGTGGAAAGTAGCAAGCCCACCTGCCGGCTCCTCAGTTCAATCATCGGAACGTGCCAATGGTGCCAGGGACTCTGTGTCCATCCTTCCCCTGGCCACCACAGGTCACTTCCACAGGGTACCCTGTCTCAGCCCCTTGCTCAGGAAGCTCGGTTCTCACCGGCTGAGGCAGCCATGGCTTTGGGCTGACTCACACCCGGCCCTGCCTGCACCCCTGCCCTGGGTCTGCTGGGACCTGGTCCCCTGGAGCTCGGGGACAAGGTTGAGAGAGAAAGATGGAAATGAGATGCTGGGAACTGGGGGAGGATGTCCCAGAGGCCTGGAGCTCCAATGAGGCCACCAGGCGCCTGGCAGCTGGGAACTCGGGGCCGGGTGTGAACCTCCTCTAGGTGCTGGGTCCTTCCTTGGAACGGGGTCATGTGGGAGCAGGCTCTATGGATGGGCAGTGTGTGCGGGTCTGCCTGGCCCAGGAGCCCTGATCCTGGGCAAGCAGGGACAGTGGCCACCCTGCCTGACACTAGGGCACACCCTGGCCTCTACCTGGGTCCTGCACCCAACACCTGGGGACCATGTCCACCTCTGCCCTCCCTTTCCCCTTACAATCCAGGACAAAACAGAGAAGTGGGGTCCAGCAGGCTTTGAAAACATAGAATATGACACACAGTATTATAACTTGAAAAGAACTTGAGGACCAGCAACCACAACACACGTGTCAGTTGCATAAAGTTCACATTCTTTCGTTTTATTCTGAAAAGTCTTGAGGTAGGAATGAGTGTCCCTTTCACAGGAGAGGAAAACTGAGGCCCGGGAGGGTTAGTGACTTGCACAGGGTCACATGGGACAGGTGGCAGCCCTGGTCCCAGGTCCCGGTCCTGAGCCCTGTGCAGCGCTCTCCACAGGACAGCCTGCCCTCCAAGGAGACAGGGCAGTCTGGCTGCTGTCAGGCTTCCATGGAGGAGAGCTACTGGGGACCCGTTTTCCCCAGGGGAGTTCAACTCCCTCCAAGTTGCATAGCAGCTGGTAGCCACACCTTCCTGGTGTGGAGGACAGATGTCAGTGTGTGTGTGTGTGTGTGTGTGTGCGTGTGTGTTTGTGTGTGTGTGTGTGTGCATTTGCGCGCGCACCAGGCCAGTCAGTTCAAGTTGAGAGTCTCCTCTAGCGCCCTCTCCTGGACACAGGGAAGAGGTGCTTTTCCCAATGGTCCCATAGGATTACCCCAGTCCCCCTTCTCTCCCATATCCATCTTGGAGTGACCCCACGAAGGCCCTCGCTGTGTTGGTCCCTGACCATGACCTTTGCTCTCCCGCCTGGGAGGTCCGTGTCCCAGAGCCGAGTAGAGATGCCGCATCTAGATCCACGTGTTCTCCAGCCCGTCCAGGCTGCAGACCCCTTTTCAGGGGACAAATGCAGACAGATTCTCCAGCCTTCCCTGCAGGAGGGGCCAGGTCAGAGCCAGGAGCCTGTGAGGCAGGCAGACATGGCAGGCTACTGGGCCAGGCTCCTGGCCTACATTTGCCCCATTGGCCCCGCCCACCCCACCAGGCAGTCCTGGGCTGTGGGAGCCCTGATCTGTCTCCCTGTGTCACAGTGGCTCCTCTCACTCCAGGGGAGGACACCCAGGGAGGGGGGTGAGGGGTGTGGCAATCCTACTCGCTGAGCTGTGGCCCCCCCTTCAGGGGACTCTGAAGGGCCTTCAGTTCCCTCCAATAGCTCAGACCTGGAGGCCAGGTGGGATTGGGAAGACAGTCCTGACTTCAGCCTCAGCACCCCAGTCTGGGGTCAGGCTGGTCCTGCTGCTGAGGGGGGCTCTCAGCTGCCCCTCACACCTGTCCCAGGAGGGATAGCCAGCAGGTGGCAGCGGTGAGAGGGTGGGCTCAGCTGGCTCCCAGGACTTGAGGGACCAGCAGCCTGGCCAGGGCACATGGGAGGTCAGTTGGAGGGTACGTGGCCGCAGGGCCGGGCTGGACAGCTCTGGGGCCCCTGCTGCTGATGCCTCTGGGACCCCCAGCT